TGAGGCTTCGCGGTGAAGCGGAGACAGAGTGGAAGGGCCGACAGCTACCAGAGTCTTCGGGGGCAGGAGTCAGGTGCAGCTGGAAGACATTCCATCTCCGGTGACATCAGGTATGTGACTGACGCCTCAGTCACACTGGGGGAGTCAGGACCACAGCCTGAGCAAGAGCTTTAGCTTGGGACTGTAACAGACCCAAGGAGACCTAAGAGTAAGACCAGGCAAGATGGGGTCAGCGCATCAGTGCTCGGCGGGGCAGAAAGGAGCCCTAGAAGAGAACCTGTCATCTATGATAGGGGTGCTAAGAACATGCCGTGGGACAAGGAGGTTTGTGCTATGTGGATAGCCACACGGAGAAGAATGAAACCGGACTTGCATACTCACGATGTGCAAAGAGCCCCCAGTGGGTTATGGGTCTGAATATAATGCCTGCAATTATGAAACAAGCAAACCTAGGGAAGACCCTCAGAGCAAAGGCCTGCACACGAATGCTAGAATAGTACAGGACACAGCAGTGGACAGAGGGCATTTTGTCAAGCTAAGGGGGCTGTCTGTACGGCAAAGGAAGCAGAGTGGAGAGCTAGCCTGCGGAACGGGAGGTGGGCATCGCAAGCATTGCCTCTGATGAAGGGCTAATAGCTAGCAGATACATGGAACTCAGTGGCAAAAAGAGTCCAGTTTGAAAATGGCTGTAAATTTAAACAGACATTTCCTGAAGAGTTATATGCACATGGCCAGCAGTTTTGGAGAATAATCACCTGGGAAAATGTGAATCAGCATGACAGTGAGATGCCAGCCCAGTCTAGCTGCGTGGACTGTTGCGAAAGAGGCAGAGGGTAACGAGGGCCAGTGAGGACGTGGAGAAAGGGGGCACCTTGCACCCTGCTGGTGGTACCCAGTGCGGAGGTTCCTCAAAAATGGGAAATGCAAATACCAGGTCATTCACCAGTTCCATGTTGCTGGGAATCCGTGTGTCTAGGTGACCGCCTCCTTCCTGTGTTTCCTGCAGTGTGGTTCAAGCACCCAAGTAGTGGAAGCAAGCTCGGGGTCCGCTAGCAAATGTGTGGAGAAAACACGGCCCAGACACACACAGACAGTGTACGTGGTCGGTGTTACACACACACACACACACACACACACACAGTGTACGTGGTCTGTGTTACATGGCACGGACACACACAGTGTACGTGGTCGGTGTTACATGGCACACACACAGTGTACGTGGTCGGTGTTACACACACACACACACAGTGTACATGGTCAGTGTTACACACACACAGTATACGTGGTCGGTGTTACACACACACACAGTGTACGTGGTCGGTGTTACACACACAGTGTACGTGGTCGGTGTTACACACAGGCAGTGTACGTGGTCGGTGTTACACGGCGCACACACACACACACACACACAGTGTATGTGGTCGGTGTTACACGGCACACACACAGTGTACGTGGCCGGTGTTACACACAGGCAGTGTACGTGGTCGGTGTTACACGGCACACACACACACACACAGTGTACGTGGTCGGTGTTACACACACACACAGTGTACGTGGTCGGTGTTACACACAGACAGTGTACGTGGTCGGTGTTACACGGCGCACACACACACACACACACACACACAGTGTACGTGGTCGGTGTTACACGGCACACACACACACAGTGTACGTGGTCGGTGTTACTTAGCCACGACAACGTAGCTCAGACGTGTGAAATGAACCAAGCACAGAAAGATGAGGTCGCTTGTACATCCCATGGTTCTTTCTCCATGACTGACCCCCGTGAGTAGGTGTGTATGTTCTCTTCCGGCTTCCAGGTGCTGCTGTGAGGCTGTGAAAAGCCACAGCCACCGTCATCGGCTCACACTCGCATAGCCTGGCCTGCCTTCCAGACTGTAACGGCACAGTTAACTACCATGAAATGACTTTTATCTTCACAATTAAATATGTTCCGTACTTGGTCGTCTTTGGAAGTGCAGTGTGTCATTGTGAGGGGGTTGCTCTGAGCTATCCTGTGCTTGTGGGGCTGGCCTGGCATGCTTGAGGGTGCTCTGGAACTTGGTCCTCCGACTTGATAAATGAGCCAGAAGGGGGAAGGGCAGGGACATGGGAAAGTTACAATTATGGAGGAGCGGTTTCAGTGTGATAGCCTAGTGGCTAAATCCTTGTCTTACATCTGCTGGGATCTCATACGGACGCCGGCTCGTGTCCTGGCTGCTCCACCTCCCATCCAGCTCCCTGCTTGTGGCCTGGGAAAGTAGTTGAGGACGGCCCAAGACCTTGGGACCCTGCACCCATATGGGAAAACCAGAAGAGGCTCCTGGCTTTGGATTGGCTCAGTTCTCCCATTGCAGCTGCTTGGGGAGTGAACCAGCAGACAGGGGAATCTTTCTCTCTGTATTTCCATTTCCATGTACCTGCCTTTCCAATTAAAAAAAAATCTTAAAAAAAGAATGTTCATCACAATTATTTTGGATTATTTTGTTTTGGATTGAATTGGTTAAAACCATAGTCCTGCTGAAAGATACTGCTGAAAGTGATAGCTGTGCTCAGAGGTCCCTGTGAGGGGCTTCCCAGGGGGCCGACTCTGCCTGTGAGGGGCTTCCCAGGGAGCCGACTCTGCCTGTGAGGGGCTTCCCAGGGGGCCGACTCTGCCTGTGAGGGGCTTCCCAGGGGGCCGACTCTGCCTGTGAGGGGCTTCCCAGGGAGCCGACTCTGCCTGTGAGGGGCTTCCCAGGGGGCCGACTCTGCCTGTGAGGGGCTTCCCAGGGGGCCGACTCTGTGAGGGGCTTCCCAGGGAGCCGACTCTGCCTGTGAGGGGCTTCCCAGGGGGCCGACTCTGCCTGTGAGGGGCTTCCCAGAGGGCCGACTCTGCCTGTGAGGGGCTTCCCAGGGAGCCAACTCTGCCTGTGAGGGGCTTCCCAGGGGGCCGACTGCCTGTGAGGGGCTTCCCATGGGGCCGACTCTGCCTGTGAGGGGCTTCCCAGGGGGCCGACTCTGCCTGTGAGGGGCTTCCCAGGGAGCCGACTCTGTCTGTGAGGGGCTTCCCAGGGAGCCGACTCTGCCTGTGAGGGGCTTCCCAGGGAGCCGAGCCGACTTCCACACTGGGTGTTGAGCTGGAGGAGAAGCGTGTGGCTGGCTGAGACATGTGGTGTGACAGCTGGTTCCTGTCTAGCTGATCAGGATGCAGAGATGCTATTCCTTGTAAGTTTTGGGGTGGAGAGTGGAGCAGGTGGGCAGAGGTCAAACCTGGCAGGTGGTGTGCAGCAGAAAGCAGCAGGCCACACTGCAGGCCGTGGGCTGTGTGTGTTAACAGGCCGTGAGGAAGAAGTTCACTCCTTGTGCACTGCACGCACAGTCACTTGTGACTGCAGAGTACTTGGGCCAGCTTGAAGCATTTCGCAGTAGCTGAATTCAGCATTTGGATTGCAACGCTCCTTCAGCTGTGAGCCCTCTGAGGCTGAGTTTTTATGGAAGTTTTGAAGTGAGAACTCATAGCTAAGATGTTTTAAGAAAAGCCCAGGCACTGTCTAGCCAGAATCCCAGGAAAGTGTTTAGGAGGCAAGCAAGGTCTTGGAGGAAGTGGGGCCATGAAATGGAAAATGCAGTGTGTGGTCATTCCAGTTGGTGTGCAGTGTTAGGAGGTTCTCATTGTGTGTGTGGAAGCAAGGAGCACAGGCAGGGGCTGCAGTAGTGGGACGGAGGGTCTGTGGCCACTCCCATCTTTGGTGGCCTTGGGCTGTTTAGCCGTCAACGGTGCCACTGCTGTCCTTGGTGGTCGTGCTGTTTAACCATCAGTGGTGCCACTCCTGTCCGTGGTGGCCTCAGTCTGCTGTTCTCTGACTTGCACCGACTGCGCGGAGTGTCAGGTCTCCCTGTGTGTTGGTGCTTTCCTTTCTATCAGGTTGTTGCATCTTATTGTATTTGGGGGAATTGACCCCTTAATGAATTAATTTTTATTTTTCTGAAGTCTACTTCGATAATGACATAACAATTCCTACTTCATGTCGATTAGGGCTTCTATTGCCTATTTTCTATAATTTTTAAGGTGTCGATGCATTTACATTTAAAATGGCTTTCAGGGTGCTAGGAGACAGCATAGAGTTTAGTTTTTAAGTATAATTTCTTAATTGGCAGTTATTTTAAGTTATTTGCATTTTGATTATTTAACTCTCATTATTCATTTTTCTCTTAAAGAATTATTTTTTCCTCATCAGCGGTTAGACATCTTTGATCACCCTTTTGCCTGTTGAAGGACGTGCTGTGCGGCCTCCCTTCTCCCTCCGTCCCTTGTGTGGTGTTGTCAGACATTTTGCTTCGCACAGTGCTATAAACAGTATACAATTAGCGTTTTTGCTTTCTCATGATTGTTTTAAAGCAACTAAAATAAAGGAAAGTGAGCTCTACCTCCCTCCCTTTTCCCAGCTTTAGATCCCTGTGTCTGTGTCGTGTCATAGCTCAGGGATGATTTTAGTAATGGAATGTGACTTCCGAACACGGAGCAGACACACGGGTCCCTGTCCTGCTGCTCTGTTGCTGGTGGCTCAGCATGTGGCTTGGTCTCATGGAGAGCTCAGTGCTGTGCACCTGCGCCTGTCCAGGCACCCTTGGGCCTCCTCCTGGGGATCTGGTGACCTCAGGTCTGTGGCGCTGGCTGAGGACATTTCAGAGCCCCCTGGACTTGGCTGGGGTGTGGGCTCCAGCTCCCGCGTTCCACCTAGCATCAGGCTCTCGCCAGAGCACTGTGAATGCAGCAGTCACGTGCAGCCCCCAGGACACCTGTCCCTGGTGTCAGGGCAGTGCCGGACAGAAGAGCAGGTGGGAGACTGGGGACTTTGTGAGCAGCTGGGCTCAGCTGCAAGGGAGATGGTGCCTGTCTCACAGTTGAGCTTGGAAGCCTCATCAGTCAAGGAGGGGACTGAGCAACACCTGGGAAGCTTTGCGCTCTAGTTCATGTCCAAAGCGTAACGTTTTCTTTTTCTTTTTTCCCCCTCAAGGGGTGCTACATCCATTGTGTACAGATGCAGACAGAAGGGGACCCAGAAGCCTTATGCTCTCAAAGTGTTAAAGAAAACAGTAAGTGAATTTCCTTATCTCATAGCAACTTCAAAGGGACTGGAGAGGCAGTCCCAGAGAGTCGGCGCACACAGCCAGTGCAGCCCAGGCGGGTGGCATCTGGAGGGAACCACAGGATGCTGGTGGCGGTCAGAGCTCAGCTTGGGTGTAGTGGTGAGGACAGACTTGTTAGAGCTGATAGGGGAACCTTGCTTTGTGCATGAGCCACATGCTTCAACACACACACACACACACACACACACACACACACACACACACACACAGAGTCTTCGTACAGTTTGTGGAAATGCAAATGATGAAAAGCTATGCATGAAGCTGAAGGATTTTTTGCACCCAAGTGAACTTACCTTAATTCTGGCTTTCTGTGGGCTTTTTGACATTCCCGCCTGCGTGGGATATTTCAGCATTTAATGTTACTGTGTTCATGAAAGGGATCCCCAGCTCCTGCACCGCCAGGAGGTCCAGGTGTGAGCTTGGCTTAGTGAAGGATGGGAAACTGTTGCTGATGTTCCAGGCACACCTGCCCTGCTGGAGGGCTGTGTTGGGGCCAGAAGAAAGGGTTCTGTCAGCCCATGGGAGGCCCCACCTTTACCATCTGCAGAGAGGTGGCAGGATAGAGGCAGTGCCCCAGGCTCATCTCCAAGGAGTGGGGGCATGTGGAGAGTGCCAGAACCATGGAGCCAGCACCTGTACCCCAGAGCATCCTGTCTGTGCCGTGCCCTGCCTGCACCCTGCCCACGTCCTGCCCGCACCCTGCCCGCGCCCTCCCTGCACCCTGCCCGCGCCCTGCTCACACCCTGCGTTCTCCAGGAGTTCCCACTCACAAGCCTCGAACAGACAAGACGGTCTTGGGCAGCACATGCGTTCTTCACGTTTCATGTGAGTGGCTGCGGGAACCCCATGTATCTGAAAACCCAGCTGTGTAAACAGTGCGTGGAAGCCGACAATCACATGTTTGAAGTCAAATGCTGCCATTTCTGGGCCAGGGGTTCCTCCCAAGGCAGTTGATACCACCCGCTGTTTCTGTCGTCTGGCACGGGGAATGTTAGCTGCTTGTGATGAGGAGCGTCATGGCACCGCGCTTTTCCTTACGTGGGAACGGTCTGTTGGAATGTGATGATTCTGTGATGATCGCTGAAGTGGCAGCTGTGCCCCAGGTTTCCCATCTGGTGTAGGAGCGGTTTGTTGTTTCAGAACATCCAGGAGTCTTGATTAATAAGGTTTGGAATTTTTGCTTCAGCCAGATTCTTCTAGTAGTAAAATTTATCTGAAGTAAAGATTATTAAAAATTTTATGAAATAGTTTCTTACTAAATAATAAATATCCACTTTTCATAAAAATAATGCTTTAGCAACTCATATGCAAGGTGTTTTTAGGCTTAGCTGCATCTCCTTGTTGGAAAAATTTTGAGTTCAGTTGGGAGTTTGTTTTTGTTTTGTTGTTGTTGTTGTTTGCACATAAGGAAATTTCGAGAGAAAAATACATGGAGTCTTGTGAAATAACCATGATACGTACCCAGTGATGGGATTGCTGGGTCAAATGTAGTTCCAATTCTAGTTTTGGTTTTAATGTTTGTTTATTTGAAAGGCAGAGAGGGGCAGAGGTGGAGAGAGCTCTGCATGTGCTGGCCAGATGGTGCAGTGGCCAGGTATGAGCCAGGGCAAAGCCAGGAATGCCGTGTCTCCCCCGTGGTGCAGAGGCCCACGCAGGTGGTCCACCTGCCGTGTCTCCCCCGTGGTGCAGAGGCCCACGCAGGTGGTCGGTCCACCTGCCGTGTCTCCCCCCATGGTGCAGAGGCCCACGTAGGTGGTCCACCTGCCGTGTCTCCCCCGTGGTGCAGAGGCCCACGCAGGTGGTCGGTCCACCTGCCGTGTCTCCCCCCGTGGTGCAGAGGCCCACGCAGGTGGTCCACCTGATGTTGCTTTCCCAGGCCATTCCCGGGAGCTTGATCAGACAGAGCAGCAGGGACGTGAACTGGTGCCCAAAGGGATGCTAGGTTCATAGGCAGTGGCTTTACACACCACACCACAATGCTGGCTCCTCCTTTTCTAGTTCTGAAATGTGGCTGATGGACGCTCTTACCAGCAGTGTGCACTGTCCACACTTTGTCCCCCTTGTCCCCTGCCTCACCAGGGTTTGTTGTCCTCCGGCTTCTGGCGGGGTGAGATCACACCTCAGTGTAGAGCTCTAGCAGTGTGCCTGAGCCCTGCATCATCTCCGCTTCCCATATTTGGGGAAGCAGAGAGGCTGAGTCAGAAGATCTTCCTGGGCTGCTCCTCGGGCGAGAGCGCAAGCCCTTAAAGAGTGACAGGATGACGGGGATCCCAGTTACAGCCCTGCCCTGAGCTGCATGTCCTGAAGGTACTGAACAGAAAACTGCGCACAAGAAGAGATTGGACAAGTGGCACTGTTGGCACAGCTGCACTTTGGAGGTGCAGATTCTTCAGCCAGGACCGAACTGGCTGTGTGGAGTGGAGTATGGGCTCTTGGGGACACGTGGTGCACATGCAGCTGCTGTCCCGGAAGCCAGCCCCTGAGTCCTGCTTTGGGGTGACACTGCAGCCCCTGGGTCCCACCTCAGGGTAACACTGTGACCCCTGGGTCCCAAATGGGGGTGACACTGTAGCCCAGCAAGCAAGGATCATGTTCTGAGCAGTTGGGGAAGATTCTGCCTGCCCATTCCTGCCTTCCCCTTCCCGCCACCCCTGCCCAGTTCAAGTGTGACAAGTAGCATCTGCAGAAATCCAGAATCTGGTTTCTGACCCGTCTGGAGAGTGGCCGGGCTCCAAGGCCAGGCTGGCTGTATTTAGGGTCCCTCCTGCTGCTACCACCCATCAGTCTTTGCCTCTGAGTGTGTGGAATGGGCTCAGGAGCGGCCGGCTCCCGGTGCAGTGGTGGTTGAAGGGGGATCATATCTGTCGTGTGTTGCGGCACTAGGGGAACAGGTGACCACACTAGCGCCGTTAGCTGGAACGTGCCCACACAGTAGTTGATCACAGTCGCAGTGTGTCTTGTGTGTTCCCACTGCTTTCATTGTCTCAATTCAAAGCTCGGCAGGGTGTAGCCCCCACTTGTGTCTGTGCACGTCTGTTGAATGTGATGGCTTTACCTGGGCTTTGGGGAGTCTGCGATCATTGCTGAGCATGTCTGTCTGTCATCAGCGACTCAGTGTGTTGCTTCATGAACAAGTTTCCTGCTTGGACCCGTGATGCCTTAAATGCCGAGGGCAGGGTGGCATCTCCATGGCTCCTCTCTGCTTCTGACTGTGGAGCAGCGCAGGTCCTCTCCCCAGCCAGTCCCGGCTTTTTCCAAGTATTCAGGATCCCCGTAGTTGTAGCAAAGTTTCGGTGTCACTTTGGCCTTCAGTCCTCCTCTCAGCTAGCAGAGAGCACACACACCGCATGGCCCGCATGTGACTGGGCCGTTCCTGACACATCCCGCGAGGTACCCTTGCGTGCGGCGAGGGCTGCTGTCTTGCATCCTGACCTCTCTCAGGGTTTCCTGTGTGTCCTGCTTGCCTGTTTCATGACTCCAGAAATCTCAGTGTCAAGCTCTGTTTTTAGGTCTGCACCTCCGAAAATGTTTCATGGGTTTAGCTCAGTCTTGAACACAAAGCTTCTTGATGGGTTTTGGAGAGGCCAGGCTCAGATGTCCTAAGACCAGCTGAGCATCCCTCGGACGTCTTGTTCGGCGTGACTCCCTGAACCCTTCTGTGTGTAGAGCCTCCGCCTGCCATCCGGCCAGCTGGGCTCTGGACAGTGCCATTGTGAGCCGTTTGTGGACTCAGCTGTCAGTGCTAACCTCCTCGCCCAGGGCACAGGAAGAGTCCTTAAGATGGCGTTGTGTGGTTCTTGGGACAGTTAATACCCACTTCCAGTTGTACATTTCTTGACCTAGTGTGCTTCTTATCCCACGTGCCCGTGCTGCAGGCTTTCCAGGCAGGGAACACGTTCTCTTGTGTGATGGCCCAGCTTAGTGCTAAGAGTCCAAACAGCTGCTTGGGAGTCCTTGGTGCTGCCCTAGTTGACATTGAAGGCTCAGTTGATCACAGTGGGAGTGCTGCTGGAGTCCCAGGGAACCCGCCCAGTCCAGGAGGAGCACTGTCGATGCCACACGTCAGGGCTCCTCAGCCTTGTCAGCTCCGGCTCGTTCAAAGACAGCTGCAGGTTCCCAGCAGAGTGGACTGTGACACTGTAGAGGGATTCCCAGCCCATATGACCCTCTGTCACTTTAGGGGTGCCTAGCTAAAGTAACCATAAATACGGGCGAGGAAAGCAGGAAGATGCTGGTCACAGGCTTGGCTGTTGCGGGTAACAGCAACAGCTCATGCACGTGGGTGTGCAAAGCAGGTGCACCTTCACCATGCTTGCACCTGAATGATACTATCATGCAGTGTGTCACAACACCACATTGTGTGCCTTCAGCGTAAATGATTATTTGTCTTCTTTCAATAAAGCTTGAAAGAAAAAATAACCAAGCCTGCTTTGGGCCCAGTGGCAGAGGCCTTTATCCTCTGTCCTGCCGAGTAGGAACCCCAACCTATCTGGGGAGACCTGCATGCTGTCACTGTGATCCCAGCCTCTGAGAGCATGGAAAACCAGCTGTGATCCATGCATTGTCCCATCCCATGATGTGGGTAATTGGGACAGGTGGTCTGACCCGGTTGGCCTCAGCCATCAACCCATCTTGTCTGCTGGTTTGCGTGCCGTGGTTGTGTGGGTAGTGAGGAAGGGAGAGTCAGTCAGCACCCAGCAGACCTGGGCCTGGTTGAGGTCTGAGAACACATGAAGTGGAGCGGATTGCCCAGAACACACTGCATCAAGTGGCACATGCTCAGCAGAGCCCCGGTCAGAGCCGTGGCTGTCTCGGAGACTGCTCATCCCGCTGCCTGGAGGAGTACCGGGGCATTTCTGCTGAATGTGTGACAAGTGCTTGCCTTCCAGGAAGTAACAGGCAGGAGCCTCAGCCCTGTCATGGCAGGAGACCAGGAATCTGCCAGA